ATCCAAAGTGAACATCATAAAAAGTTTAGAACAGCGTAAATAAAAAACATCTCAAATCAACATTAGTGAAAAGAGTCAATAAAATATGTAAAAACAATAGTAAGGGATAAAACAATATAAAGAAAATAGACATTACCAAAGGCTGAGACTTGTGTGTGATTTGAGTCAGTAGAGAGGTCCAGAGTGTCAGGGCTCTAATAGCAAACTGGGTCTGGGGCTGGGTCTGTGCTTGGCAGGAGTCTGGACTCACTCAGGACTGTTGTGGAGAGATGCATGCAATGTAAGATGGAGGCCATCTTGGACAATACCAACCATCCTCTCCACAACATTCTGGCAGGATAGAGAAGCAGCTACAGCTGCAGCAAACGTCTCATCTCACAGAACAGAACAGAGAGGTTCAGGAGATCCTTTGTTCCCACTGCCATCAGGCTTATACAACACCTCAGCCAAATGATGTGGACTAATTTAATTATTATATAATATTAAGAGCAGATATGGTTTACACTGTACACTCTGGTACATGAGGTTAGAGAAGACAGAATTAGTGAAAAACAAAACAGCAGGAACAGTGCTGAAATTCTTGTGGTCAGGTTTATTTTCATTTATTACATAGATTAATAGGCCTATTTTAGGTTTTACAACTGAGTTGCACCTTCAAATTAACCCCTTAAATTTGGTGTTGCAGAAATATGTTAAAAATGTAATATTTTTTTCAACAAATTGATATACACTCACCATCCACTTTATTAGGTTCACCTGTTCAACTGCTTGTTAATGCAGATATCTAACAGGCCAATCACATGGCAGCAACTCAATGCATTACATGGTCAAGACGATCTGCTAAAGTTCAAACCAAGTATCAGAATGGGTAAGAAAGGTGATTTAAGTGACTTTAAAAGTGGCATGGTTGTTGGTGTCAGACGGCTGGTCTGAGTATTTCAGAAACTGCTGATCTACTGGGATTTTCAGGCACAACCATCTCTACAGTTTACAGAGAATGCCGACAAATCTGCAGCAACTGCGTGATGCTATCATGTCAATATGGACCAAAACCTCTGAGGAATGTTCAATCTATGCCAAGAAGAATTAAGGCAGTTCTGAAGGTAAAAGAGGTCCAACCTGGTACTAGCAAAGTGTACTTAATAAAGTGGCCAATGAGTGTATGTAAACTCTCTGTTGAAGTTTTTGTCTGTTTTATTTTTATCTATCTATCTATCTATCTATCTATCTATCTATCTATCTATCTATCTATCTATCTATCTATCCATCCATCCATCCATCCATCCATCCATCCATCCATCTATCTATCTATCTATAAGTCCGGTCACCCTTAGTCATAGGCTTTGACCTCCGGGTGATCAGCCAGGCCTCCATCCACAGATTTATGTGACTGTACCTGTTTGTTCCAGCAGCAGCTGAAGAAGGTGGATGGAGGCCTGGCTGATACCTGAATAAAGTGTGTTACAATAATAAGTAAAAATATGTATAAAGAGTCTAAGTCTAAGTGTAGCAGCTCTATGAGGCTATACGAAAGCCCAACAGTACTTTGAGCGAAATGCTAATGTCAACATGCTAACATGTCCACAATGACAATGCTAATATTTAGCAGGTATTTTTTTACCATGTTTACCAAATCACCAGTTATTACAATTCATCCTGATGGGGACATGAATGTGTGTAGCAAACGCCTGTGCACAAAAAGGCACAAAAACACACAAATGGCAAAAGTCGGGGGATTAGAAAATCATTAGAATTCATCCTCTGGACACCATGAAAATGTACTAAAACACCATGACAGTCTATTCAGTAGTTGCTGAGATATTTCAGTCTGGACTGACACACTGACGTTGGCCAAAATATGTAATATGTGTGGAACTGTAATATCAAAACTCCAACTCATGTTATTATAGCATCCAGGTGCTCATGTTCACAGTGTAAAAAATAAATGGGGAAGATGTTGTGTTGAAATAATGTTTCCCTTATACAAAAAGCAAAGAGGTAAACAAACAAACAAACAAAAACAAACAAACAAACAAACAAACAGACATATCTGATAGACTGTATGTACACAAAAGTATGTAGACATATGGACATGTGGAAGAATAGAGCTCTGACCTCACCCCCATCCAACAACTTTGGGATGAAGTGGACCTTTATTAAAGACTCCTCTGATGAAAATCAAGTGTTTAACCATGTTAACATCCATATGATGTTTTTATATAATAAAGACATATGATGAATGAAATAATCATCAACACCATGACTAAGTGTTTCCACCTTGAACTGCAGTGAACCAATGAGTCTCATAAAAGCAGAATCAGACAGCCAGGGTTTCATACGTCACAAACCTAAGGAATCGATCCTGTCAACTTGTGGGGACAGGGGGCGGGGCTAAATAAACCTGAAACCTTGTCAGTACAGAGAGAGAGAGTTAGCATTAGCACAACTACTAACCCTGTGTCAGCCACTGACAGTTACAAGCTAACAAACAACATAAACGAATAAAAGATGCTAACTATGCTAACCGTTCTGATCCGTCTGCTAGTCTCTGATTCTGGTCTCAACAGACCCCTCATCTGAGTCTGGGTCTGACTAAGGCTCACACATGTGGCTGAGTCTCTCTGGCCCTGTTCAGACCTGGTATTAATATATGTCTTCAGTTATCCGATCACAAGTGGTCAGCTCTAAATTCATCAGTTCACACCACCTCAGAATGTGGTCTGAATGATCCGATCTCAAATGCATCCTCCATGCATCTTGGGTGCGTTCACACCTGAAGACGGATGTTAATGCAAGGTCTGAACAGGGCCTCTAATGTTTCCTCTAACCATCTTGATACTCTGCTCTTTCACTTGTCAACCTGGAGCAAGCAGGTGGTGGGCAGTGCACAAGGCCTGATCCAGATTTCTCAATCAGGAAGTAAGAGTAGGTGAGCTTCAGACCCAGTTTTTTTTTCACTTTTTATCTCTGAAAACCTTGTTTAACAAAATATGAATCATAGCAGAGGATTTTGACAGAGTTTTAAACATGTCTGGAGAGAAACTTTAATGCCCGTGGTTATGGAAATCACACTGATTTACCTGAAGACTGGTCACATGTCACAGTCTAACTGTCAATGTATTTCATTTGTTTTCCTACAGTATCCTCTCAAACTAAAGGATGGTTTACATTTTTCTAGCTGTGTTTCAACAACTAAAAGAACTTGATGATGTCAGGGAAAGATTGTGGTCTTGATTAAATACAGAAATCTATGCTGAATTAATGTGTAGCAGACAGATGTGCTGTGGGAATAGAGCACATCCATTCTCTGTCTCCAGTGACAGAGCAGCACCATGGAGGTGGTGGGGAATTCAGTGACTTCAGCAGCATGGTGCTGTGAACCGTGGTCCTTTCCTGAGGAGTCTCCAGATCCACTATAACTCCCTGCTACAGATTGTAATAATGATAACTACACATATCCACACCTAATTCAGGGTTCAAACGTGTCAACCTCCCATTGCAGGATAGTTTTGCTAAATAATCTGAAGGCATGTCTTCATGACAACTAACCAAATTTTGTCCCACAATTACAACAAGCACACTTGAAAACAACAAGGCCCAGTGTAGAGAAGAGAATAATAGCCTGCTGGTCACATTTGCTTATACCCTGACTCATCCTCTCTGACATACCTCTGTCATGAAGCAAACAGAGGAGGTCTTTGTGTGTCACATTACAATGCACACAGAGACTATGAGCGTGACCTACATACTGTATGATATGATAAGTGTAGCAGGGTGCTCTTGTAAAAACACCCAGGCCCAGACCGAGTGAATGAATTCATAGTAACACTATTTAGACTTAATGAGCCAAGCTCAATCCATTATTATTCATACACCCCCAGAAAGCCTTTACTTGTATACACAAGAGCTAATCTACATAAAAATGTATGGCATGTCCATTACTGTGCTAAAGGCTCGTAAGCTCCATCGAAAGCTTACATAAACCTATGAGCTAATGCGCCAAAGTCCGCAATGCCCAGTGAGAAAGGCTAATCGTCATGGCGACAGCTACCTGGGAGGGATGTTCCGTCGTTAGAGACATGGCCATGGCAACTGCACCATGCAGGAGCACTGGTGTCACAGACACAATCTCACCTGGCATTCAGATTAACTTTTAATAAAATCACTCCCTTCACTCGACAACAATTCACTACACGTACAGACATTTATTTCCTCCATACATTGTGTCTGCTGTGTACATTATTTGTAATACTTACATTGAGGCTCATATATAAAGCTACATTCATACATTATCCTCAGAATTAACCCTCAATCTGTAAGAAAAGGGGCCGAGTTAAACGTTCATACTGGGGGGAAAGCTATTTACAAAACTGCACAGCAGCTCACCCATGACCACAAACAGAACCATAGAAATGGGAACTAATCTGTGAATTGAGCTGCTGTTGTGCTGAGCTGGGATGAAGAACTGTATGCTCCTGAGCCCAAAGGCACATGACTGATAATCACTGTTGTAGCTAAAGCAGAGTCATGGCCAGTCCTGCTGCTGCAGTTTCCGCTAGTGAAACGTCGGCTGTAATGGACCGTTGTTTTCTGCTAGTCAGCCACGTAGACTGTAGCTAACTAGCAGTCATCTAGTATTGCTGCGTCATAACTGAATCAATAATGTTTTCTGTTAATCACCGAAGAAACGTTTCACTGTCTCTAAAGAAAGTTGTAATGTGGCAGTGAAATGCAGAATAAAACCTAATGTCAAATCACATATCTATTCCGCCACCATGAGGGAAGTAGGCCAACGTCTACAGATTAGACGTTAGTCACACGTTCGAGATGAATGTGACTGACAGACGGATTCGACCAATGGCAGATAAGAACTTCGACATTTGATTGGTCGATGTTTGTGTCTGTAAAGGATGCTTGCGTATATCAGCCAATAGATGTTCGAGCTGAGGAGGAAAAGGCGGGTTCAAATTTAGTATAAATTGAACAGTCGAGCCGTTGTGCACGCACATAAAGAAAGTCACAGTCTTTTGTGTGAAGGTCTAGTCTACTTCCAGAAAAAATGAGGGAAATCGTGCATCTTCAAGCCGGCCAGTGCGGAAACCAGATTGGTGCCAAGGTTTGTAAAGCTGTATTTGTCTTTTGAGCACTAAATTGAGTTATTTTAGGTATGTACGCCGATATTTTCGCTGTAGGAGTCGATGCTTTGTGCCCATACGCGTCCCAGAAACCACACCCTGGAATATCAATGTGTCCTACTTAACTTAAATTCCCTTTAACGTCAAGTCTCATCTTAATAACATTTTGGAACGTCTTTAGGATCGTAATCTGTCGAAGTGGGGACGAATTAAAATGATTACAACAAATTTTTGCATGTTGTAAGATTTATGTCGGAGTCATTTAGTCTTGTCCGTTTTAAATTAAACATTTTTAGAAACGGTAGGAATCAGTTTATACGTTATGAGATTTAAATCAACGAGCTGTTATTTTAACGGAACCATTGTTCTCCAGCAGCCGTTAATGCAATGCGGAAAAAAGGAAGTGAGGATTGTCGATTAAAAAAAACATGAAGCGCCTTAAACATGTAACGTTACATGAATGTTGTGATAGGTATGTTGATGCAGCAGACTTGCACCATTTTTGATTTATTTATTTATTTATTTTTAAGATAAATGTACGTTTTCTTTGTATGAGAGCAGCTCCGGGCTCATTGAGGCCTACTTGGCAGTACGTTTTCAGCTGCGCCCGGCTTTTGCCTGGAGTAGGCGGCGTTGGCGGTTAGTGACGTAGTAAGGAATTTTCAAATTCATAACCCATGAGCCGCAGCCAATGGGGGGCCAGGGCGCGCGCGCTGAAGGAAGCGTGGCGGGAAACGACATTTCAATTGTTCAGTTATTACCTTTTTTATAATATTAGAATATTTAAATAAGCTGCTTAATAGTTAATAAAACAACTATGATTAATGGATGCTTGTTGCCTAGTCATACTTGGGTTTTTCCTCAGAGCTAACAAAGCTTTACATACTGTTCTACAGTTTTGGGAGGTCATCAGTGATGAGCATGGTATTGACCCAACTGGCACATACCATGGTGACAGTGACCTGCAGCTGGACAGGATCAATGTCTACTACAATGAAGCCTCAGGTAAGTCAAAGGCACCCTTCATTTTAATTGCAGTGTACTCAGACTTTGCATTTTCTCTGACCTTTCATGTCTTCTGGGTATTTTCCGTAGGTGGCAAATATGTGCCCCGTGCTGTGCTGGTTGATCTGGAGCCTGGAACCATGGACTCTGTGAGGTCTGGACCTTTTGGTCAGGTCTTCAGGCCAGACAACTTTGTTTTTGGTAAGTGTTGTTTTTTGGGGGGGGGGGGGGTTGTGTGCATAGTCAAGAAATTCTGCCTTCTGATACTTGTGATACTTCAAGTTCTGTGATGCTTAAACTTCATTACTACATTACAGGCCAGAGTGGTGCTGGTAACAACTGGGCTAAGGGTCACTACACTGAGGGTGCAGAGCTGGTGGACTCTGTCCTGGATGTGGTGAGGAAGGAGGCAGAGAGCTGCGACTGCCTTCAGGGCTTCCAGCTCACACACTCCCTGGGTGGTGGTACAGGCTCTGGTATGGGAACGCTGCTCATCAGCAAGATCCGTGAAGAATACCCCGACCGTATCATGAACACCTTCAGCGTGGTGCCTTCCCCCAAAGTATCAGACACAGTTGTTGAGCCCTATAACGCCACACTATCAGTCCACCAGCTTGTAGAAAACACAGATGAGACCTACTGCATCGACAATGAGGCTCTATACGACATCTGTTTCCGCACCCTCAAACTCACAACACCCTCATACGGTGACCTCAACCACTTGGTCTCTGCCACCATGAGCGGCGTCACCACCTGCCTCAGGTTCCCTGGACAGCTCAATGCTGACCTGCGCAAGTTGGCTGTAAACATGGTGCCATTCCCCCGTCTGCACTTCTTCATGCCCGGCTTTGCCCCCCTCACAAGCAGAGGCAGTCAGCAGTACAGATCACTCACTGTGCCAGAGCTCACCCAGCAGATGTTCGACGCTAAGAACATGATGGCTGCCTGCGACCCTCGTCATGGCCGCTACCTGACAGTGGCTGCCATCTTCCGTGGCCGCATGTCCATGAAGGAAGTGGATGAGCAGATGCTGAATGTGCAGAACAAGAACAGCAGCTACTTTGTTGAATGGATCCCCAACAATGTCAAGACCGCCGTGTGCGACATTCCTCCCCGTGGCCTCAAGATGGCTGCCACCTTCATCGGCAACAGCACAGCCATCCAGGAGCTGTTCAAACGCATCTCTGAGCAGTTCACAGCCATGTTCAGGCGCAAAGCTTTCCTCCACTGGTACACCGGTGAGGGTATGGATGAGATGGAGTTCACCGAGGCAGAGAGCAACATGAACGACCTGGTCTCTGAGTACCAGCAGTACCAGGATGCCACTGCTGAGGAGGAGGGAGAGTTTGAGGAGGAGGGTGAGGAAGAGCTGGCCTAAATGTACCTTTTTTCTTTTCTTTTTTTTTTTTCTTTTTTTTTCAAAGCTCTGCTGTTGTATCTTTGCAGTGAAATGTAACGTTCCAAGTCTTTTCCAGTCTTCAGTGTTCTGTCTGCTGTTCATGTTAATAAAAGTTCTTCTGCATATTTGATTTCTGCCTCATCATTCAATGACACTGATACTTAAATTAACTGACTATACAATCATGTACAGGTGAAGGCAGTGGTAAATCAGGGTTTTTATTTGAGCACAAGCACTAAACTACATAAACTCGGTTATAACTGCTCTTTGAATAATTACTACTGCGCACATGTCAAAGCTGAATGATGCACTACATTAGTTTGTAATTGTGACATGAAGTTTGAATTTACCTCAGCAGCTAACTTGGTGCTGTATGTTTATCAACTCAGCAGTTATAACAAACTTCCAGATAATACAAATGTAGGTAATATATTTCAAGGCTCTGTACAGCATAATTAAATCCAGTCATTTTAGTTGCTGTAATCTGTAGCCTTGGTGCAATGCAAATAAATTAATAACCAGATTGAAGTCCACATACTGTTAGAGAAATACTGTTAGCTCAGTTTTTTACTGTGACTGGAATGGCTGAAATCCTCCATAAACATGCCCCAACAAGTTTGTACGTCTGTTTTGACCTGAACATCAAATATGTAAATGAAAATTACTGTGATGTTTGTAGAGGTTATAAAGTGACAAGTTCTCATAGAATGGAAAGTCCATGAAAGGCTACTGCAGACATTTTGATGTCTGATTGTGGGACAGTTTCTGCCTGTGGCTGCTAGGTGGCAGTGCAGGCTAGGCCATTCTCTTCCACATCAAGTAGGTGAGGATGCTGACAGCCAGAGCCAGCAGTGTCCAGCAGCACACCTTCTTCACCTGGCTTTCCAAGTCCTGCTTCTGTCCAAAGCGTGACACAAAACCTCTCTGTCAGAGACAAGTGAGTAGATGAAGGATTCAAATGAAATTACACATTCAATTTACAGTGAAAACAGGATGTTCAATACAACAGGTTCACCATGAAGATCACAGTTAAACAGTGTTCAGGAGCCTCTCTGCAATAATAATGAATTTCTAATTTAGCGTGTTAAATCAAGTAAGTATACATATTTTTATTATTATTTTATTGTTTTGTGTTTAGTATCTTGTACAGATCTGTTTTGATTAGGTTTTAAATATAAATATAAAAAAGAACATTTGAACATCAGTTTGTCTGAAAAAGGATGTTGATGTGGGTCTCCAAGGCCACGATTTAACTGTGGAAACGAGTTTGTGTAACTGAAGATTCGTTTGAAAACACAACAAAAATACATCTCTAAAGCACAATGTGAATTGTTTTTACTGGGTATTTTCATAAACTTCACTATTACTATTATGCTTAAATAATACATATACCTAAACAAATATATGTTTTTTTTTTTACCACAAACTCACTGACACAGTAAACCAGGGATAAGATGCTATAACTAAAATCTTGGCCAGTATAATGAGTGCAATGTTTTTTTCTCAATCGCTTTGATGCAATTCTCACTTCAAAAACATCATTCTCACAACTCTTAATAATTCAGTTAATGCAGCTCTCAACAGTTCATCCACAGACATCAGTATTTCTCCGTTTGTACAAACTGCCATTGTATACTATCCACACATTTTCTCATTGTGTTAATTTATTTCTCATCTGACTCATGAAAACAGTTTGCACCTGTTATCAGATAGAATCACAGACCTTTGATACTGCCTTGCACTGCTTTAGTGTTTTTAGTAAAATCACTTAATACTTAATAACACATAACCTTCTTCAAACATGTATGAAAGAGGAAGGCCATTCACACACACACAAACACACATATAGATAATATGCTCTAAATTTGATTGCATATTTTTATGTCTATTTTTAGATACATATAGTTCCATGTTCATCATTTCATTTTCTTCAGCTACAGCTGTTATATTCAGATTATAGATATAGTTTTTGCTTTCACACATTTTTTCAAAACTACACACAAATCCAAAAACTGCCACCAAAATGCCACATATCTGCTGCAAAATGAAACACTGCATTGGAAATATCATAAACACATCTAAGAATCAATTATTAATATATACATCCCCATACAGTGTTCTAAAGTGACAGGACAGTGATTTGTTGAGAGGTTGAAATGTTCACAGTACAATAAACACCAATGCAGTGTTGAAACAGAATAAAGTTATTTTCCCATCATGTCACTGTTGTAACTGTAGTTCAGTTTGTGTCTGAACATTTTTACTCTATATGTTCTGCAGTTCTCTTTTTCTACAGTCAGTCAGGTTCTTATCAAAGTATCAAAACATTTGGCGTCTCAGTCTGAAGCTCTGGAGAAAAAGTTCCATTCACTGGTGACACTGTTGAACTGACTGACTTTGCATGTGAACAAGGTTTTGATTGTGTTAGAGGCTTTTGCTCAGGTGAGTCAGTGTTGGAAGAATGATGTTTCTGAAGTGTGCATTGCACATGATGGATACCCAAAGCAAGAGGGTGCAAACACACAGAGCAAGGAACAAGTGACAGGAAGGAAGTCAATAGGGTCCTATGGCTAAATTTTAGCTATGGCATAACAGATGTCTGTGTTAAAACAAGGGCCATGGAGTCTGAAAGTAGTGGGTCTTTATCAGGCTCTGATGAAAGATGCTATCAAGTGGCATCATGGATAGTGTAGGATCCAGTGTTTTTGGAGATTCACCCACCTACAGGACTGGGTGTCAATATATTTGAGCCTGTGCTGCTTCACATTAAACCATTTTATCTGCCCCGCCCTGAGGTTTGTTTTCACTGCTGTTTGACGTGATGGAGCAGGACAGTGTGGGTCTGGGTTATTTAAAATCAATAATGTACATGGTGATGTGGTTGCACATGTTTCATTAGGTGTAAGTCATATTGATGAGAATCAGCGTCACTTACCCATCCTCCCTTGTCCCGTATCTCAGGGCAGATGACCTTCTCCACGTAGGCACCCACACACTCCTTCAGCTGGGGCAGGACCACCATCATGCCCCTCTCGTGGCAATGCAGAGCCATCTGGCCAGCCAGCACGTACACCGACAGCACCGCGCTCCAGGCCAGGTCCCTGCGGCGCCCCCCGGGGACGGGAGGAAAGAAGTGCTCGTCCAGGATGCTCATGAGCATGGGGCAGGCTGTGTTCTCCGTCACATCCTGGAAGACACGAGGCCAGCGCCTGAAGAAGATGGGGAAACGGGTGAGGAGCTCATCTCCGGCGTGGCGCAGGGCTGCGGTGCAGGCTGTAGGGGCGGGACCCATGGTCCCATCTGCCCCCCCTGTGGTTACATAGTTTATGTAGTCATGTGCCATGAGAAAAGCCTCTCTCACCAGTGGGTCAGGACTGTTCAGGCCCAGTCTGGCCTCTGGCTCCTCCAACTGACACATGGTCGCCTCCAACTGCCACTTCACTAATCACTAAGCTGTATTCTCATTAGACCGCAGCTCACAGCTCTGTGTCCAAGCAGCACAGCCATTCTCTGAGTCCCATCAGGCTGTCATGGTGGTGCAGGGACACTGTTTAAAAATGACATTAAGACACATCCTGCAGAGTCGTGTCTGATAAGGAAATAAAGTATTTACAACTCACGTCCTCTTCAGAGAGATAAACACACAGCAGAGCTGAGGGGAGAGCCAGCAGGTGAAAGAGTGCCGGGTCCAGAGGAGTGTATCTGTGTGTGTTGAAGTCACACTGGGTCACCCAGTCCCCTCAACAGCTAAATATAGAGAAACTGACACTGATCTCCAACCTCATGTGCACAATCGTAGCTGTTCCTGACACACATCTCATTCCAACACGAGCAGCGCAGCTAAATAAAGAGCAGAGGAGCTGCAGACTGAGGGGAGGCCGGCTCACTGTCCACTGTGGAGGAGTGTGTGTTTGTTGAGTGAGGAGAACAGTCAGAGCTGCTTTCAAAGACACAGTGAGGTTCAACAACCTACAGATAATCACGTCTTACAGGACAATATGAGACCGTAATGGTGACTGCGTGTTGTTGTATTTCACTCTCTCATCTTTACATTTATATAAAATGATGATTTTGTTATAATGTCCAATGACCAGTGGTGGAAAGTACCTTAGTACATTCACTGTTTAAGAACAATTTTGAGGTTCTGAACTTGTACTTCATTATTTCCATGCTGTTCTACTTTATAACTACTATTATTGTTGTTATTATAATTATTGATAACACCATTACCTATGGGTATTACTATTACTAGTATATCAACATATTAACAGCCCCCACCCTGAGTCCACTTCTGTTGGAGGTTTCTTCCTGTTAAAGGGAGTTTCCCCCCCTGTCCCCAGGTGCTGCTCATGGGAACTGTTTCTCTCTATAATATTCTGAGGTCTTGATCTCACACTTTAAAGAGCCTTGAGATAATGTTTGTTATGATTTGGCACCATACAAATAAAGTTGAATTGAATTAATTGCATCTGAGGGAAAGAGGGAGGGAGGGAAATATTGTTTTTTCACTCCACGTTTATTTGACAACTGTAGTTACTTTGCACATTAGAATTTTACATTAAAAAATCGATTGGCTTATAAAATAAAACAAATGTAAATGGACTCTACCTCCACCTTCTACAACAATCTCATGATGTCATGTATAGAAATGTACTCTAACACTGTAATCAGTCACTCAGTCATTTTCCTGCAGGTTGTTGATGATTCCTCTGGACTTTAACTTGAGTTAGATTTGAAATGCAGTACTTTTAAATAAAATTAGGTCGTTTTTCTTTTATTGTTGTAAAAGATGAGTGTACTTCCTGCCAATAAGCTCATGATAATGAATCATTTGAAATCCTCAAGTATCCAGTCAATCTGATAGTTTGGGTTGTGTCTGTTCAGGTTTTGTGATATTTGCTTCTGAAATTTCTGGATGGGATTCAATTATTAGAGTCCAAAGCACTGAAAAATGACATGTAAAAAATTCAACAGCAGTTTGTCCTCACTCTGGATCCTTCACAAACATTGTCGTGTTTTTGTTGGAACAACTTTCTAACCAATAAGAAGTCCCCATACAGAAATGTAATGTGTGTTATATATACACATATGTGCTCTATGTAAAAATTACATGTTAACATGTTCT